CGCGGGGGAACGGGTAGGGCAGACGCACAGGGTGGAATGTCCTCACATGTGAAATGTTCCCCAGCTGCTGCAGAGCTGCTTCACAATAACAGAAGTGTAGAGTACAATCTAGCCTTTGCGCCAAGGGCGAAAATACATCTAGATCTAGGCTTCATTTTAATCAGAGTAACAGCAGTAGACTAGTCGAGGAGGTGAGCAAGATGCACAACGCAGCGGCATCACAAACAGCTTCAACTTCCACACGTCAATTTCGCGTCTGTGCTGCGTAAGAACATGTGTAGCACCAGCGAAAATTCCTTTCAAGCAGCGTGTGTATTTACTGCCGACATAATCAAGGACCCCGAGCAGCACCCAGCGTACACAACAACAATTTGCGCGTTCATCCAGCAGTGGTCCTCTGCACGCAGGATGTGCATACGGGGGAATGGGGGAACTCCAACTTTCAGCAGCATCAGAACTCAACGTAATTTTCACATTGTGCACTTCTGCTGAAAACGTAGAAACAAGCCCGCAAACCGCCACACAGCAGCTGCTGCTGACACCACACCAGTAGACTCTTATGCTCACCTGACTCGTCCGTGTTCCAAATGTGGTCGGCCGCAGGCCTGTGCTCGCCGAGAAACTCCGCCCAAAAATCGTAGAACTTGTGCAGACGCTCATCCTCTGACGAGGTCACCCGGTTAGACTCGTAGATGCGGGCGAGTCGATGGCTGATGCCCTCGTGCCTTCCGAGGAAGCCCTTGAGCCAGTCCTTCCCCGGGCCCTTGTCACTGTTCCACGGGATCGGCCGACCGTCGTTGCAGAGCCGTCTCACGCGTTCCGTCAAGTCTGCGGTGGTGAGAGGAATGAAGTTTCTACCAGCGTACAACAGGAGATCTTCCACCACGTCCTCCTCTGCTTTGGTCATGACAGTCCCGGGGCCAACCCTCGCGCCATGGCGCAATTACCATCCAGACGCCGCTGGAGGGAGCTTCTACATNTCCACGGGATCGGCCGACCGTCGTTGCAGAGCCGTCTCACGCGTTCCGTCAAGTCTGCGGTGGTGAGAGGAATGAAGTTTCTACCAGCGTACAACAGGAGATCTTCCACCACGTCCTCCTCTGCTTTGGTCATGACAGTCCCGGGGCCAACCCTCGCGCCATGGCGCAATTACCATCCAGACGCCGCTGGAGGGAGCTTCTACATACCCAACCCAAAGGCAGCTGCAGCGGCGTTCTGTGACATGCGACCGCTGCGTACCGCTTCACACGCCTTTTCAGCGGCTACGGGGTCCACTCTCTGCCGACCCATGCTTAGCAACAGGAGCCCGACAAGGGCTAAGATGCCCCACATCAAGAGCGCTGGTGGCCGGGTTGCTGTATCTCGTGGCTGCGAGACCCGATCGCGACGCTGAAGTGCTCAAACGCAAGCTAACGGAAAGCTGAACAAAATTCAAAAAAAAAGGGGGGGCCGGCACAGTGTGCGCCGAGGTATGCCCATTTGAAAAAGGTTGCCCTTAATACCCCCCCTGCCCTTAATACCCTCCCTTACTTGTACACCATGTACTTTTTCTTTGAGTGTGTTTTTCAGAGTGGCCGGCACTTAGTAGAAGCGAGAGTCGACAAGCTCACGTCACACACATGCCAGCAGGGACCGCCGCCTTGTTGACTTCAACAACGAAGGAAGGACCTACTGTTAGAGCCGTGGAACAGGTTGTTGTTGTTGTTTTTTCACATTAGCTCAATCATCCACTGAAAATGGGGAGCCCGTGGTCTCAACACCCGGCACATACGACGCCGCGGGGAAACAAAACAAAAACAGGGTACAAACCACTCGAAAAACGAAAAACAAATGATAGAAAGAAAATAACAGGTATCGCACCGACCGTTCGAGAAAAGAGCTCTCGGAAACCGATCAAAAAAAGGTAAAAACAAAAATAAAGATGAAGGAGGACGCTTCCCACACCCGCCCAAAGAAAAAATCAAAGGGTAACGTACCAGCACCAGGCACTGCGCACCAGGGCATGGGAGTAAAAGTGNCGCACCGACCGTTCGAGAAAAGAGCTCTCGGAAACCGATCAAAAAAAGGTAAAAACAAAAATAAAGATGAAGGAGGACGCTTCCCACACCCGCCCAAAGAAAAAATCAAAGGGTAACGTACCAGCACCAGGCACTGCGCACCAGGGCATGGGAGTAANTTCCCACACCCGCCCAAAGAAAAAATCAAAGGGTAACGTACCAGCACCAGGCACAACGCACCAGGGCATGGGAGTAACGGAGCAAACAGGACAAAGAGGCGGCAGATGGGCAGACAGCCAGACGTACAAAAACAAAGGCAACAGCAAAGCGAGATCAAGGTACCCAACACAGCAGAGTAGGCAGGGAGGTCATGATAAAAAGAAACACAGCACAGAGGCCGAAGGCAATAAAAAGGACATACACAAAGGAGTATAGCATACAGCAGGGACGGAAACGCGCCCAACATCAGCAGGGTACATAGTTCGCCACAAGTGCTGCCTCGGCCGCCCTACTCGCTTCTACAG